CCTCCGCTACCATTTCCAGTGCAGCAAAGTCGCCACATTAGCATGTTCCTCACTCAAATGGATAAGTCGCGAGGAGATTCCCGGCTATGGATGCAGAACTTCCGCATCTACGTGCGCAGTTGACACTGCGGATTGGGAAATGGAGCATGAGGGAACACTCAAGATCGCAGCATGGTTCGCCACCTACTTGAGGGCCTTTCTAGCAGTGCTCGCTCTAGGACCAGCCGCGTGGCCGGATAGTGCTGAACTGGTGGCTTTGGCAGTAAAGTCGATACCTCAAGAGTGTTCTTTTTGCAGAACCACCGGGATCGAGGTGTTTTTGAAGTTCACAGTTATTATTAGGGAGCACATTGCGAAACAAATCGATTCAGTGAGCTTCTCCCCTATTTTCTGGATTCCTTTTAATCCAGTTGATCTCCCAGGTGGAGTTGAAACTGGATTTTTGACGTGGATTTCATCTCGTATGCATTCAAAACAGTTTTCTCTCAACCGCCCGCCGACTCGCTTTCGATTTGCTGCTGTGATCTTTGTACAACCATGTAATTATAACCCACCCTGTCGCGATACTCATACCTCCGTCTCCGCGTTGAGCCCCCGTCAAATCTCGCGTGGTCATTTTTACAGTGGACTCTTACGATAAGCGGGGACCTCGAGCATACCGAAATTTGTTTGATTTACACCCGCTAATATCCTGATGCGTCCTTGTCCGTGGGAGCGCACCAGATCCTACTACTTTTAAACTTCGCAGGAGGCGACCAAGATCTCGCCCGAGATTCTGGGGCAGGTGTTGGCTCTGCTGGTCAAGGCAAACTGCCGATCAATGAGGAGAAGGATCAGTATGATCTGAATCCGGGTGAGTCGCGACTCATCTTTCCTTCCGTCTTGAGATGTGAATACGGTCGCTAATGCATGACCCACCGCGCACAGGTTTCAAAAGCAAGAAAATCCGGGTGAATCTGAATCTGCCGATTAAGGCGGATGTGAAGGCCGAGTCGAGCGATGTGCTCAAGGCCGTCGATGAAGATCGGAAGTATGTAATTCAGGCGACGATTGTTAGGTGTGTATCCCGTTCCCCATCTCAAGACGACGCGACTCGACGCTGACACTTCCCCAAGATTCATGAAAGCGCGCAAGACGATGAAAAACCAAGCGCTCATCCAAGAGGTCATCTCGCAGATCTCGCAGCGCTTCGCGCCCAAGATCCCCGACATCAAGAAGGCGATCGAGACGCTACTGGAGAAGGAGTATATTGAGCGCGTGGATGGGTCGAAGGATACGTTTGCGTATGTTGCGTAGAGGCGCGGATTCCACACGCCCTCCCCCGACTTCATTTCCTGCCGTGTAGATTTCTACCTCACTTCTCCGTCTACATCTCCATCGACACCGTCTACCATTCTGTACTTGCTCCGCCTCCCTTCTCGTGCTTGCGTTGCTAATTTACTTGCTCACCACCACCACCTACATCCCTACGTACATCTATCCCTCCATACACTTACTTACACACATCGAGAGCAAAAAGACTGCAGAATCAATTGAGAGAGAGTTGCCTTTTTGGGCGGTGGGAGGATAAGCGCCCGAAATGGAAGTCTCCTATCTGCGCTCTGTTATCTCGACCACCACCACCGCCTGTGCAACCCACTCGTCCGCCTCCCGCCCCCTCTAGCATTGATATCTCTATCTCTCGCATCGCTCTGTACGTGAGCATCTTGTGGTGGTATACCCGGTGATCTCACTCTTGTGTTCGCTAGGGCCTTCGCCTTCGCCCTCGCCCAGCCCTGCCCGTTTCCCGCCACCGCTTCTCGCCCGTGTTATCGCTCGAGGGTTCTTTCCCCCCGCCTCCTGCCTTTGCCCGCCCCGTCTCCCGTCTCCAAGGTTGCTCCAAGGATGCTCGTAACGCTGAGATCTCCCGCAAAAGGCGACCGCCAAGTCTCTGTGAGGTCTCCCTCACGGCTCAAGATCTCTGCCGCAGCCGCAAACCTCGTCTTCAATCCGGACAACAGTTGGGATACTGCAGAAATAACGAGTCCCCCAAACGCGTCTGTAGTCGTTGAGCGCCCACGACCGGAAACTCGCCCACTCGCACGCAAGAACCTGTACGTGGAACTCCTTGTGTTTTCCATACGACTGATGAATAGACCATTTTCAGCGTGACAAAACTTCTTCGTGAGCAGCAGGACGCGGCTGCCGACAAGGCGGCGATGATACAGGTCCTGGAAGCCACAGAAGAGAGGATCGAACAGGCCGCGAAAGCCGCAGCAGAGAGGGTCGAACGCAGATTAGCAGAAATGGAGAGCAAACTGGGTGCAGTACAAATCGAACTAACAGAAGAGCGCGCCCAGCGGAGAGCCGGGGACCACCAGAGCCTCCGGCACATCGTGCGCCTCCGGCGGGAACAGATAAACACTACCAATTTGCTCATTCTTGAGCGGGATGTGGTGGAGGTGCACGAGTCGTTGAGCCGCAGTATTCAAGGCACGTCTACGCAGATCGTCGATCATCATTTCAGCTGACCTCGAGAATTAGCACTCAACGACATCGTCTTCGATACTAGTCGGGTTCCTGGGACAGGCCCTCGAGCATTCGTTTTGGCGGAGACGCAGAAGAGACTATTGAAGGACCATGGGCTGAACTACGGTGCGCCAACATTCATCCCCGTCTCATATCGTCCATCCTGACCGTACTAGTCACTAGGCTGCTCAATGTTCCGCGGTACAAGTTGGCCAACAACAATGCGCTCAAGCGCATGCGCATTGCCGCCCTCCACGTTCTCTCGATGAAGGAACAGGAGCTCTGCAAACTTCTCGGGGACGCATTCGAGGAAGGTCGCGAGTTAAGGAACATACAACAGCACAAGAGACCGGACAAAGCTACCGCCCTGGAGCGCACAAGCATCGCCACAGACATGCCTCCGGATCTTTATCAGATTTTAGAGGGTTTATTGGCGAGCGACCCTAGGCGTTTAAAGGTCGGGAGTGAACGGGAACGCAACGCACCCGAGGTGGATTTGCACCTATTCGCTCCGAAGGGTACACATATCTCGGTGGGTCGGATGCGCGAAGATCTTGTGGTTATGAGGAATGAGTTGGAGGAGCTCGAGGAATGGCTTGCGGAGGAGAGGGCGGAGAAAAGGGCGGAGAAAAAAGCGAGAAAGGAGGCCAAGCGCCAGAAGAAGGCGACTGGGGACGCATGAGCAAGTAAACTCGAATCGATGGCATTTTTTTCATACTTTTCATTTGGATCTCCCGTATCAGTTTAGTGTTCTTTCAGCCCGACTTCGGTTCGATCCTTAACATGGGAATCGCGGCGTTATCCTCCCCAGGATTGAAAATTCCGCCCTCGAGCGGGATGAGTTCAAATACAGTGCGCTTTCCAAAAAAAAATACGTAGAACTGATCTTCATGCACCACCCGCGTGACTCTGGGGTAATCTTGGCTGCTCCTCGTCGTCCTGGAGCTATTCGTCGTCGTCGGGATGTGCCTGTGCCTTGCTACGATCATTTTTTCGATTTTTCTTTTATCACCATTATTTCTTTGCTGGAAGGAACGTGTTGATGATTCGCCCCGTTGTCCTTGTCGCTCCTTCTCTCGTCGCTAGCTCTCTTCTCTTGTTCTACCTCTTTCGCCGTGATCATTTTTTTTTTCTGCGCAACGTTAATAGTACAGTAGTTTGCGTTAGCATTTCTTATGGATTTCTTCGCTAATAAATAGGCCGCTGGTAAGTTCCAAAAAGAATGAACAGATAAACTGAACCAAGGGTCCGATGTTCACCTTGTTGGAGACTTGCGTAACCGCGGACCGCCAGCAACATGACCAACCTCACATACAGGCAGCGGTGATCAAACACACAATGTGGGCTTGGAATCAGAGCTACATCGGCGTAACATCGCACTCCTCACCCCTGGCACCAAACCGCACCAAACGTAAGTACACGGTCACCGGTCTAGCCTACCAGTGGCTTAGTTCGAATTTTGTTTTCAACATGGGAGGAGGAGACCCCCGGTCACTACCTTTCGTTGCGGTCCACTTTTTGCCCAAGAAAATCGCTGTTTTACTCTAGGAAATTTCGAACGGTTTCGGAGGCTGTTTTACTCTATTCCGGACCAACATTTGAGGCTAAAATGGCCAAATTTTCTCTCCCAGTGGTATTTTCGCGTATCTGGGCCGCGGCTGTTCTTCGTATCGTTGCTGGAACAGTTTCGACCAAAGAGTGCCGCTTTTCTCCCAGGAGTATTTTTTCCCTCGTCACTGCACCCATGGATACACCAAAAAAAAAAATCTAGCGCTCCGCGCGATTTACTCTATGTTGGACGGGCCGAGGCCCTTTCCGATCTGATTTACTCTATCTGGCGGACCGGGTTGGCGTCATTTTGAGGGCTTGATTTACTCTATCTCGGACCGCCTCGAAAGGTAGTGACCGGGGGAGTGGAGGAGGGCAAGAATATTCTTGTAGGGGCTGACAGCGAGGGTTCAGTCAACGCAAAACGAGCATCTGGCGCCCCGTCCGAAATAATCCCCAGTGAATATATATATACATGTCAGTGTTCTCAGCCTTTCATTTCCACAGGTTACGGGTGCTCCCGTCACAGTCCGCGCGTAGCTGGGCAGAAAAACTATCCCGGCGAGGGCCGAAGCTAAGGGTAACAAAAAGCGATGATGATGGGTGGCATTCGGGTGCGGGGAGTCGAACCCCGATCTGCCGCTTACATCATGTCAAAGCCGGCGTTATAGCCGCCGTGCACCGTACACCACACCCGATTTATATCTCTGAGGGGAGGCCGTGGAGTGAGATTCAAGAGAATAGAGGACTGGTTGGGACGGACAAGACGATGGGGCAAGACGAAAGAAAGAAAGAAAGCCTGCACAGTGCACGGGAGGCACTGGGCATAATCAATCGGGACAGAGTCTCAACGCAAATGAAGAGCAGAATACGAAGACTGTGATGAGTACCCAACCCCTCTCCTTGGTGAACTATAAACACTTGATATACATGTAGCCCGGAAAGACCTGGTAGCACAATGCCAGTACGTCTGCATCGTTTACGACGGGTCGAAACGATTCCCGCAGATGATCCCCGTTCGACTCGGGGTCAGGTCATACATACACATCCGGGGTCCCCCTTTTCTTTCGTCCCCAAGAGCGGCTTTCCTCCGAATTTTTTCCATACGTGTCGGTCTATCCTCCAATGCAGGCAGCAGTGCTGAAACAAATCAAATCGTTCCCAGAGCAGATCGCAGAAAAGGTTGAAAATTAGGATTCGCTCCATCTGCCACGATCTGTCCCTCGCAGGCAGGAAATGCGAGTGGCTGGCTGACGGAGAGCTTCATACCGAGGCAAGAGATTCTCCGAAGGTGTAAGGGTAAGAACAGGTATAACTGTAAAAAACGACGAAAGGGTAAAATGGATCACAACAGGTTATGGGCATTCGGGTGCGGGGAGTCGAACCCCGAGCTGCGGCTTACGTCTTGGGACACACCTATCTTATTGATAGCTGCCGTGCGCCGTACACCACATCCGATTTCTATCTCCGAAAGGGAGTCCTTGGAGTGGGGGGTCAAAAGAATGGAGGGCCGCAAGCTAGTGCTTCCCTGGAATAGATCACGTCAATCACGGCGAGCACCTTATTTTCCGAAGAAGCTAAACAAGTTCGTAGATGCCAGTGAGATTCGAAACAGTGGCACAAAGGGGTGAGCGATACTTATCCGGAGAATCCCACGGCGCCATGCGCCACGCCTGATACATAGGCCCAGTAAATGGGGAGACAAAGAGTATCCCGATTGGTGTTTCCAGGGAAGCGTATGGATGGTATTGGTAAGAGCAGGATTTCCTCAATCAACATGCATATGCCCTAGCATGTATCTTCACTCAACGCGTTCCTGTTGAAGTTGAACTGGATTTTGCATACTAGTTGAAGAAAAAGCGCGGTCGGATCTGCGCTTCAATTATTCAAAGAGCATGGACTAGCGCCTTAAAATATAACCGCTTGCCGCGTCATTGACGAGGAGTCGCTGATGCCGAACAGCGGCATGTGCTGATGGCACAGCCTCCCCCGCTGCTTGCCAGAGGCCGTCATGTCAGATCCAAAGTCCACAGATCCATCTTCATCATTCATCCCAGCTCCCCCGTTCGATGACCCCGGCGCGGATGTCATTCTGCGCTCATCGGACGGGATCGATTTCCGCGTCCACCGCCTCGTGCTATCACTAGCCTCTCCGTTCTTCAAACAGATGTTTTCGCTCCCGCAACCGACGGCTGAACCGGAGGTCCCGACTATTCCGGTGACGGAGTCCGCTGCCGCTCTCGACAGAGCTCTGCGCTTCTGGTATCCCGGTGCCGGGCCCGCCGTCGACCAGACGTTGGATGAATTGCGGGAGACCCTGGAGTCCCTCATCATGAAGTACGACGTGCAGTCCATCGTCCCTTTTGCAAAAAAGGAACTGCGAGGATATCTCGACAAGGACGCTGTTGCTGTCTATGCTATTGCGTGGCGTCATCAGTGGAAGGACCTAGCACGGGAAGCTGCAAAGAAGACGCTGACGATACCACTCCGTGACTTCGCATTAGCTCGCCGTTCACAGCTGAATTACATCACGGGCGATGCATATCATACTCTCCTCCACTACCATTTCCAGTGCGGGAAAATCGCGACATTGGCGAGTTCCTCGCTTAAATGGACGACTCGCATAAAGATTCCTGGCATTGGGTGCAAAATTAGCGAAGATATCTGCCCATTTGACGATGAGCAGTGGGAATTCGAGAAAGGCAGGAAACACCCGATCCCAGCATGGTTCGTCGCCTACTTGAAGGGCTTACCAGCCGTGCTCGTTACAAAACCGGGGGCGCGATTAAATAGTCCCGAACTGGTAGCTGTGGCATTGAAAGCAGTACCTCAAGCGTGTTCTTTTTGCAGAACTACTGGGATCGAGAGATTACTGAGCTTCGCAGTTGCTCTTGGGGAGCACATTGCGAAACAAATCGATTTAGTGGGTTTTCTCTTATCTTCTGAATTCCTTTTCATCCAGTCGATCTCGCAGGTGGAATTGAAACTGGATTTTTGATGGCGAATTTCATCTCGGTTTTCCGGTTTTCTCCCGATCGCCGTGTCCCGCCGACGTGCTTTCGATTTGCTGATTTATGCATTTCATCTCTGTACAACCGTGTTTTCCACTGTCTTGCAATACTATCACCTCCGTCCCTCGTTGAGCCCCGGTCATCTCGCTCTCGGTCTACTGATTATTTTTCAATGCAGGCGACCCCGAGTCGAGCATCCTGGATGTGTTCGACTAAGATCCTGATGCTACCTTCGTGGGCGCACCAGACCCTATTAGCCCTTTGAAGCTTCGTATTGTTCTGAGATCTCAGGAAGAGGACATTTATGTTTTTGCTCGAAGCACATTTGACTCATCCTCGTTCGAGCCACATCGTAAAGTGAACCCCGGGGAGTCAAGGACGGGAAGACGGTCTGCAATACTTATTCATCCATTACGCATGGTCAATAAGGACTTCACGTAATCTCCCTGCGAAAGTTGTAAAGAGTGCGTGTTCGCGTTTACGGACGTGGGCGCTCGGCTGCATTTCAGTAGGTACGAGTGGGGGGAGGATAAGAGAATGGGGTGAAAGAGAAAGATAATGCTCTCGTACTGGATGACTTTCCATAAGGATAAAAAATGTTTTTCGGAATATTTGGGGGTGCCAACGATGTCGGCATGCATGGTTTACTCTGAAAATCTATTCGTTGTTGGTTCCCACAAGCCACGGCATAAAATAATCATGTCTTATAATTAATCCGCTGGTTGCCGCTTGTAAACAACGGGTCTCACTTCCACCCATTGCGTCCACCAATGTATATCGACGGATTCACTCTCCGCCACCAGCTGGAGGAACTGGAGGAGGAAGAGATGGTCCGATGGACACTGAACGGCTTCTTGCAGGCACAGCCATGGCCATAATTTCCCTAGGAGTCATCGAAGCCCATTATTGCTGTAAAACCATAGCGCTTGTATTGGGTTGTCGAACTCGGAAGGAGTAAGGAGATGCAATAAATTGCACCAGAGAGCACCAGAGTGAATTGTGGCCTACGTGATACCGTACACGCAACCCAATTAGGCGAAGTGACGGGCGGAGGCTCGCTCAACTCGTTTATTCCGTGCAAAAGCCATCTATTATAATAAATTAAGGTTTATGTACGGGTCGACTTGGAAAACCGAGATCCAAGTCCGATGGGGTACTGACAGCTGCCTCGGCATCTCGCCGAAATGAACGAAAATATTTCCCGTAGATTTTTTAACGCTTATGGAAAGTCATCCAATGTCTCTGATACTGAAATTGAAACGGAAGATTTAGGCAGAAGGTTCCCGTTCGATTCGGGGTCAGGTCATATTGGTTTCAAACCTTTCTTTTTTTTGGTCCCTTAGAGTTGAGCTCATCTACTTGGAGAGTGAGACTGCTTAATAATGACGTGATAGCACAGCGGTTGGGCATCTAAATGGGCCGGATTCATACGGGAATGCTTGGAGAGCTTCCAGAGTACATTCAACCCGAGGGACTTCATAGCTGGAAAAGTGTACGGTCGACCGCGAAGAGGGTGGATAAATGGCGTGAAGGAGCAGGACTTCGTGGGAATTTGGGCCGACCTCGGGTCCTTCCCTTTTGGGAAGGCACGGCTATCAACGGCAAACTGTGCCGCTGATTCCTTGATGCGGATCGTCGTCCCAATTTAGCTCGCAAAACTTGGGTGGCCCGCCATTGTACGAGCGAGCGGGTGGCAAAATGGCCGAAATGTACTGCTTTTCCTCCTACCACACCTTGGAAATATCTGTTCTGCCTCTACTATGGCTGAATTCACCTTCGTGTCTGAGAATGTCAATTTCGGCGGGCCCGGCTGCTCTACGGCGGCGGCCCCTACCCCCACTTCGGCGCCACCGGCAGCGCAATACAAGAAAATTTGATTCGGAGCATGCGCCCCTGATCAGAAGAACGGCAGCCTGAATGCACGCAGCCTGGCCTCCGACGTGTGTTTGGCACAGCTTAAAATTTCGGCTGCTCAGCGCGTCTCAATCGATTCAATGTACGCGCTTGACGCGTCGAATTCATTCCCAACGCCACCCATCGTGGATTACATCTTCTCCACGGACGTTGACACGCAGCTGCAGGCCTCTGCAGTAATGGCACAACATGCTTTGGATGTGGGTGCCCGCGACGATCTCGGCAATCGTTGGTCCACGCAATGGAGCGAATGGGGCAAGGAGAACACCAATATTACGCGAATCCTCTATCTATGCAGCTGTGGATATGACCACACGAAGCGTAACACGAAGTACGATCATCAGCAGCCCCAGGATCATGTTGGTTCGCAGGAACGCCACAATCCCCTTCCCTTTACCGGCTGCCTCGCTCATGCCGAAATCACCCTCCGTTCCAGTTCAATTGTCCGTATCCGCGGCCATTTCGATCACAACCAGGCGTGCAAAGACGCCCTGTTTGCTCGCATCCCACCCACTCCTGTCCACCCATCTGTCTTTGCTGTGGCGCTCGCGCAGCTTCGTGATGGCGCTGCTTTCAGTGACATCCGTAAAGAAAATCGAGAGCTTTTTCAGGCGCGCGCCTACAAGGATTTCCCTCCGGACCTCCATGGATCTCCCTTTCGATGGCTGCTTGAGCACAAAGACTCGCGCTCCCTTTATCGTCAGTACAATCAAATGAAGGGTGTTAATGTCACGGATGCGCCACAGGTCAATGTCGACGAGTGGCTTGATCCGACCTCGGACAAATTTAATCCGACTCTGGCGCACGCGATTTTCCATTACTCGGGTCGAGCAGAGAAGGGGGACCGTTTCGAAGCATGTATTTCGACCGACGAGATGAACGCCGCAGCTTGGAAATATGGGCACGACAAACAGATAATTTTGGACGAGACATTCGGAATCTGTGACAGCCGCGTGCTGTTGTTCATAGTCATGGCAGTCGACGAGAACCGTAAAGGCGTCCCTGTGGCATTCCTTCTCTTCTCTGCTCCGACTGGAAACAAGCAGTCGTCCGCTGGATATAATACATCCATTATTGCGAAGCTCATCGGCAAATGGAAGGAGTCCCTCAAC